GATCTGCCCAGCTCTGATCTATGCATCCCATAGGTGCTAGATTTATAGGTTTAAAAACATATGTCTAACCAGACTTTCCTATGTAAAATTTTGGCATTGCTTCTGTGTCCTCAGCGAAACAGTGCCAGAGTTCTTAGCATATGACTTGATGTCAGCCAGCTTCCCCAAACCCATTGCTCCTCAGCAACCTCCTGCTCTGTGTCTCTGCCACTGAGCCACGCAAACACACTCAGCTTTCTAGCACACCTTGCTCACTCTGTGTTTCCACGCAGATGAGTCCCTTTGCCTAGAATATTCTTCTCCCTCTTTTGGACAAACTTTGGTTTAGCTTTTGTAACCAACTTAATGGTAGAGTTCTTTCAACAACTCTACCATTAAGTCTCTTAGGGTCTTCAAGAGGGTTCATTGTTCTCTGCTCTGTCCTATCTTCCTCTCGGCTCTGATAGACATCCTCCCAAAATTATGCTGTGCTTGGAGACTGAACTCTTGGACAGACAGATCTCATTCATCTCTCTTTTACGTGTCTTGAGTTTAGGGGAAAGCAAGGCAATCAGTAGATGCTATTGAAGAAATAGTTACAGTCATTCCAAGCACTTTGACCCAGTTTTCCCTTCCTGGGAACCGTGTCTGTATCCAGACCCCAGCACAGCTCTGATTTCTGAGTGTCAGTGGTCACTTTCCTCCATGAGATTGAGATGCTCCAGAACAGGAGCCTCTTGTGTCTCAATGTCTCAATGTGTCTATGCAACGCGCTTTCTCTTTCTCCTCTCAATAATGTTTGTGTATAATGAATAGATTTCCCACATCCATGTTAAGAGCTAGAATTAGATTTACCTAACCTAAAATACCCCTCTCCAGAGAGTAGCACAAGCAGGTAGGTAGACTGTTCAAAATTTCATCCTAATTTCTAAAGTCCATTGACATTAAAACAGCACCGACTTTTAAAAAGGTATAATGATGACACCACCTGAATCCCAAACAAAAGACTGGAGCAGATGTGGCCCAGTGAACATCCGATTGTTGTGATGGTTATGGCTGGGTTAATTTCTGCCTCCCTTGAAGTCCACTGTGTTACAATATTGTTAGGTTAGGGGTCATCCTTAAATGGTTAAGTATAATTTCATATGGAGCAGCCAGAGGGGCTGGAGAGATGGCTCACTGCTTAAGAGCACACTCTGCTCCTCCAAAGGCGCTAAGTTCAATTCCCAGCACCAACACAATAGCTCACAACTGTCTGTTGCTGTGTTCTGATGCGTAGACGTACATGCAGGCAAAGTATTCATATATGTAAAATAGACAAATAAATAAATTTTTTAGAAAAAAATAGGCCATGGAAAGTGCCCTGGAATTAGAGTGGTTCCATTCTCGACCCTGTTGCAGGCTGAGCTGTGTGACCCAGAGCACAGCTAAGCCTGGGTTAGCACAGCACGGGTTAGTGAAGCCCCAGAGTTGAAATACGGATCACAGTGCTCAGCCCTCAGATCCTCGGAGAGCTGTTGCACCCTCATCACTTCTTTCAAGGGGCTTGGTAGTTTTCTGTGCTCTCGTAACTTATATTTGACGTTCATGGTAGGTAGTATGCGTTGCTCTAGAACAGTAGCTCTCAACCTCCCAAATGCTGTGACCCTTTACTACAGTTCCTCATGTTGTGGTGACCCCCAACCATAAAAATCTTTTCATTGCTACTTCGTAACTGTAATTTTGCCACTGTTATGAATTGCAATGTACCTATTTTTTGGTAATAGAGGCTTGCCAAGGGGATCACAATCCCCATGTTGAGAACTACTGGGCTAGGAGCTTACGACTCTAAACCAAGAGGTTCCTGGTCTTTGGGGACAGTTTGTATCATGAAATGCATTACCTACTGGAAATGCTCACATCCAACGTCATTGACCTCAGCCCTGGAGATATGCTGTACGTGATGGGGAAACTGGAGACCCTGGAAGCCACTTCAGGCAAACTCCTTTGATGAGCTAAAGACCATTCTTGTACAGAATTATTACTCTGGGTTTTCCTGGTGATTACCAATGCTCCCAAAAGCCAGCTGGGTGGATATAGCTGTGAATGAGACAGACTTGGTTTCACAACCACTAAGCAGACAGCATTTGCTTTTGGCTTCGTGGGATCTTGCCATAGAGTCCCCCCTCCATCCTGAACTGTCAACACCCTCTTCATGCTCCTCCAATAGAGAATTAAGTATATTTTTAAAAGATCCGCCCATTTAGTGCTCACACACATCTTTACTATCATGCCTATTTAGCAGTGTTAGGGAACACATTGTTGCTGGTGTCTGAAAAACGTAGGAAATCCAGAAACTGGTAGCGGCAGATGGGTTGACTATTCCCTTAGCCCCTTAGAGCCAGCCCTGTCCTAGACTTATTTTCTTTTCTCCTGATCATATATTTTTTTTAAATCCAGGTTCTGCATGGCTTAATACAGTAGCTTGGACCTGTTGGATATGGATTCTTTTACTCAACATTCCTTTTCCAACCAATATTTCCAGGTCGTCTGAAAACTGTGCTCAGGTCGACCCTGCAATGGCATTGTGGGTCTCATTTTACTTTCAAGCCAAGGAATGAGCCTGGACTCAGAGGCATGTGGAAGGGGGCTGTGCCAAGAGAAGTGAGATGAGCTGCTGTCTTGCACTCCGTAGACAGATGCCAACTTTGCTTTCTAGTGAAGCTGAGCGACTAGTTAAGACCAAAATGAAAAGCATCTCTGCTGAATATTGCAGCTTCCACTTGATCCTCCCTTCAGAAAGCCTCTATGTTACACCTACCCAGTGTTAGCTGTATTACTGGGGACAGACTGCAGAAGAAGGGCAACTAATACCAAATGTCACCTTTACAACCACCAACATCACCGCTGGTCATCATCACAGCCACCATATCACAACCACAACCAGGATCTGCTTACAGCTGCCCACTCCTGTCCACCAGCCCCTGCTCCCTTGTCTAGGTCACACAGCACTCTCTGTTTTATGTCGCTTCTTAGCATTTTCTATGGTCATCCTGGGAAAGCATTGAAACATTGATGGGGGAGTGATTTCTTAATAATAAAGAAACTGCCTCGGCCCTCATAGGACAGAAAATTAGGTAGGCGGAGTAGACAGAGGAGAATGCTGGGAAAAAGAAGCTGAGTGAGTGAGTCGCCATGATGCTCCCACTCCAGACAGATGCAGGTTAAGATCCTCTCTGGTAAGCCAGCTCATGGGCTACACAGAATATTAGAAATGGGTTAGAACAATATGTAAGAGCTAGCCAATAAGAAACTGGACCTAGCAGGGCCAGGCAGTGTTTGAAAGAATACAGTTTCCGTGTAATTATTTCGGGCATAACCTAGCCATGCGGGCGGCGGGGTGCTGGGGACGCAGGCCCCGCCGCTCCTAATTCAACAAAACATAGGTCCTACTTTCCTGCTGAGTTAGCCTGCGATGGACCTTTCAAGATTTCACAATCTGGAAAATAGGGAAAATAATCTTTGTCCCCAGGATGGATATATTGAATTAGTTAGCCAGAGAGACATGATATATTGGCTTAGATGAACACACAAGGTCCGGCATTTCTGCGATCAGCCGTGGCTTCTGAAATCAGTAGGATAGTCTCCAGGTCTTTTCAATTTCTAATATTAAATGATCAAAGAAATTCATATCACCATCATCTCAGCTCAGTTATAACGAGGAGATGTTATCCTGTTGAACAGAGTGGTATAGCATATTTGATGTAACACCACTGATGGAGAAGAACATTGCACTACATTCACACCCCCAGTGCTGTGACCTGGGGATACAATGAGAGTTCCAGATGGAGGATGCATCATCAATGTTTAACTATGTGTCATTCAGAGCAAACAGAGCCATTCCACCTCCTTGTTTGCATGGAGCAAACCTTTGAAGTCAATACTCACAATCCCCCATTGAAACAAAAAGAACCCAACCCTCCACCAGCTATGGTGGAAAACAGGAGAAAAGAGTTGACTTCAGGATTGGGTAGGGAAGAGGCAGGAACTAAAGAAGTGGGTCCTAATTTCTTTGTCCTAAAACCCTGAAGCTGTTTAAACCCCATCTTACCTGGAATGCCTACAAATGCTGTTCGGAAGCTTCACCCCTGCCTCACCATGAAGAACTCACTGTGAAGCAGAGGTGAGGCGTTAGAACAGCATTCTCTTTCCTACTCTCACATGGGGCTCCTGGAGCTGTGTGGAACCCCAGTCCTACACATACCACTAGATTAGAGAGAGTTGGGGTATAGAACAGGCTTATAGAAGAAGAAAAGGGCCAGAGGTGAAGAGGCGACTTTGTAGAAAGGCTTGTTTTACAGGTGTGAGGACCTAGTTCTGATCCCGAGTCCGTGTGAAAAGCCAGGTGTGGAGGACATAGGTAGATCCCTGGAGCCTACTGGCCAGTTCATCTGGCCTCCATGGCAAAGTTCCAGGACAATGAGACACCCTGTCTCAAACTAAAGGTGGAAGGCATCTGAAGACAACACCCAAAGTTGTCTTCTGACCGCCTTCCCATAAACCTATGTGCTGTGCACATGTATACTTACATGTGTATGTATGTATAAACCTTCGTTCACGCATTCACATGTGATCCACCCACATGTATATACATACATAAAATAAAAATAGAAAGACTGTTATCATGGCTGCTTCTGGGCTTCTTGCTGTATAGATATGCCAAGTCATGGCTTGTAGGCTGTGCAATGAGAAGCCTTCCACACCCCTGCAGATGAATTCTCCAAATGACCTTCTTTACCTCAGAGGCAAGCTTCATCCTTGTCTCTAACTGGGCAAGACAGATTTGTTTGGAAATGATTTCAATTTATCTTTGTCCTGCCCCCTCCTTTCCCACCCACCTCTTATACCTAAGCTATAGTCTCACCCGAGGTCAGAGGTCTCAACCCCAGTTCTACCTCCAAGTAGAAGGGGATGCTGGGGATCTTTCCATTTCCTTACCATGCGGCTCATTACTTCTCATGGAGACAACACCCCAGACCCACCTATGCACACCATGTCCATGAAACCATACATCCCGTAGCAGATCTGGAAGAGGAGGTCTTGGCGTTGCCATTTTGCTGAGGGACTGAAGGTCGACCAGATGAGCCAAGAGATACTGGCAATGAGGAAGAGAGAACCCAAGATGGCGGCTGCAATCTGAACCTTCTCGATGACTGTCAGGGATATGGCCTGCCACTGGGGAGGAGAGAGTGACAAATTAGTTGCTTGAGCACCTGGACCCCATTCCCACACTCTTCCTTCTGCTCCAGCAGATCGCTGGTACAGAGCTTAAATCAGGGCTTCTCCACCTGTAGTACAATGGACAGCTTTGCAGTTTCATATTATATATTTTGATGCAGAGGGAACCCATGTCATATAAAATGATCAGACATCATTGTAAGGAGGGGGCTCTGGGCAGGCATGACTGAGGAGGAGACACTTCTACTTGACTTTCATAGACATAGAAATTCGAAGGCGAGAAGGAAAATAAAGAACTAGCATGGGTGTTGTTCCAAGGCATGAGAATATTCCTTTCAGAGCAACACAGTTGATTTCCTCACTAATAGGTGCCAAGAGGGCACAGGTCTTTCTTTGACGGTTTTATTTTTTTCTACACCACCACCTTGCTTGCCATTTAATATGCACGTTAGAGAGCAACAATTGGACAGAGAAGGAGAGGACATGCGGTGTGGGCGTAAGAAAACCAGCTCACAATAGACTAACTGGATTTTAACTTCTTCTTTGTCAAAGAGAAAACAGTGTACTTATAGCAGTATTGAGTTGGAGGCTGGAGCGTGGGTGAGTTTTGGCTATGGAATTTTATGATTATATGCTTCATCTATGGAGCAATGTCCTAAATTAGCCTTGAGCAGGGTTTTGGTTTAGGTTTATTTCATTTAACAAGCAAGTATTGATGATCCCTATGTGCCTGGCCACCACACTAGGTGCTGGAGCTAAAGCACTAGACAACACTGGACAAGACACAGCATTGGGGCACACAACTCTACGAGTTTCCAAATGCGGTCCACCATGGGTCTGCATAATGTCCTCCAGGGAACCTTCTTGGAACCACTGTGACCTAAAGACAAATGAGAGGCCCATGGCCTTCCATCTACAACCAGGGACCCCTCCTTCTGCTATCGTTGGCTCAGACAGGGTAGGCCAGTGGCCTCCTGAAGGAGACTCCTGAACAGTGGAGCTTCCTCCCGGACCCCAGATTAGGCATAAACCACACCCAAACACCTATTTTTGTAAAGAGATCCTTTATTAAGTGGGGAAGACGTTAAAGTGGCTGCTTTCAGACTCAGACAGAAAATGGCAGCAAATGTCCTTGCAGGTGTAATTTTTTAAAAGAAGAAGGGGAGATCTGTGTTAGAATGGGCTAGGATGTGGTGGTGAAGAGGTAGGGGATGAGGGAGAAAGGGGACAAGGGAGAGGGAGCAGGGCGCTTTGTCCCTCTGGGTAGAGAGGAGACAGATACGGTGCATAAGCAAATGGCGGTTTAAAGAGGTACAAGAGGAAAATTGGTGTTAGGGTGAGGTGTTTAATTATAATTGGGCATGTTAATTAAGTGAACCAAAGGGAGATTTTGGTAATCAGGAAGAAGGGGCCAAATAAGGGAATGGCTTTCGGTGGCTGGCTTGAGGAATGCAATCTAAAGGCAGAGGGAGTGAAGAGAAGGGCAAGGCCGGCCAGAGCCACAGGTTCCAGTGGGCTAGTGTCCCTTCACCTCCAAGGAACAAACAGTAAAGTATTGGAAACCATTTCCCTTTTAGTCTAGATGTAGGACACAGGCCTTAACATTTAATTACACAGGTAGCATCCCATTACAGAGAATCAGCCCAGTGCTTCCCAGCCTAGGGTTACACATAACAAAGGCATTTTCCAGAAGACGGTCCTATCACATAGACTTCCCTCATGTACAATACATGCTTTTTCCAGGGCCGACTCCACACTGTCTAGAAGAGTTTCTAATGGTTTTGTTCATTTGTTTCTACCATTCTGGCATCTGTAGCCCCACCTTCTAGAGGCATAGAAATGTCCTCTTTATCCCTGTAATCTCCCTTCCTGCCCCAAGCCCCCTAATGGGGCCCTCTGACCAAAGAGAGTGTGACGAAGAAGGGTGGGGATGAGATGCTGTATATCAGAATTTCTTCTTGTCCCATGTGAGGTCCCATGTAACTGTAACAGGAGTACCTCAAGGAGAGCGCTGAGGAGCAGAGAGCTCTGAGACCTGACAGGGGGCTCAGAGGGGGGAAAGAGCATCAGTGGTACCAAGTCCTGCTGCTGACAAATACCCGGATCACAAGAATCTCAGTCTCAGTGAGGTTCTAATCTCCACATCCTAAGACCTTCCCCCTTTGGACTCTAGTTCTGCTGCGGGAGTGAAGAGACAAGGGTGGAGGGCAAAGAGGAATCTTGGTCCTTAAACTGGGAAGGAACAGCAAGTAAGGGGACAGAGAGCCCAATTCTGGTTGAGCTGTGCCCCCAAACTTGTTGGGTGTAGATAAGAAGTTAATTACAATGACTTTAAATTTACCCTTCTTTAAAGATGGAGGTAATTGTTCTGTCCTGTGTCCTCGGGCATTGTGAGTGTTCAGAGCGAAGCTAGGGCACGAAGGGCATTCTTTACTGTTTCAGTAAAGACACAGATAAACTTGTCTAGGCAGGTGCACATGTGCCTGGACTCAGGAATTCTTGTTGCAGAAAGCAACCTGCTCCTTTGCTTCATAGCTGCACAGCCTCCAGCAAGTTTATAAATCCTTCTGTGCTCCTACTGTCTAAACCCATGCATTGAGTAATAACAGCACTCACTTCACTGAGTTGTCTCCAACTTAACAAGCAGGCATTAAATGTGTGTTAATATATCACAGTGTTCCATCATTCAAGGGGAATGCATTTCAAGGCCCCCAGTAGAAGCCTCAGATAGTAGCGGACCCTATATTCTAGTATTGTGTTGGCCATGCCAGCTGATCTAATAGCCAAGATGTCTCCTAAGTGACCAATTGGTAAACAACTTATACAGCCTGAACGGATGAACAAAGGGATGACCCATGTCCTGGGTAGGATGGAGCAGGAAGCCATGACATGTTCTACTCAGAACAATACACAATTAAAAGTTACTCTTTCTAGAGTTTTCCTTTTAATATTTTTTTTTGGTGTCAATTGGCCATGGTTAACTAAAACTAGAGGAAGACAGAATTAATGAATTGCCATTCAAGGGTGGGATGCAGTTGACGGAGCCTGGAGACCCACTAGGCTATGCCTCCTTTCTTAGTAGATATTCTAGATACAAACCTTTCTTTGAGAATGTCACTAACATAATGCCCTATATTGAAGACTTGAGCTATTTCTTACATCTTTGCCTGGGACACCAACCAGGAGGTGAGAGAGTGAAGCTCTCTTCCATATGATGGCAGGACCCTATCCATTGCTTTGTTGCCATCTAATCAGATCTGGCAGCTCCGACTTCTACTGCAGGGTGACCACTGTGGCAGAGCAGGCAACTGTGCCACACTTAGCTAGATCAGAGAAGCCCAGGATACATACTCGGAACAATTGAGGATACAACCATACAGTGCAGCCTCAAGTCCAAACTGCTTCTAGACAGAAAAATGAACTGGCATCAACTGCGCACACACCATCGCATTTCCAGAATCAACAGAACCAGAGGGGTCCCCAGTGCCCAGAAACTCATGACTGAAGGCAGCACAGTAACTTGGAAATAGATTAACAGACCAATATTGCCAGGGCTGCCATTTGCTTACCTGAAGCTGACTTAAAATAACCTTTTCTTTAAGCCAAGTAAAAACCTATACCTGAATGATTTTTTCATTATACGAGTCAAAGGTGGAACCAAGATGGGGGTGTTTTGGGGTGAGTTCATAGATTTTAGATATGACCTTTCCTGAGGCCTGAGTCAGCTGTAAAGAAAGGGGCGAGTTAATGCGCTCAGGCCTCCGCTGCCCCCTGAGGACCTCGAATCAGATGTTGCTTGGCACTGCTATTTTCAGCCGCCTCAGGATCTGAGAGGAGCGGTTGAAGATGGAACCAGCAGTCGGGAGGGGCTCCCCATCAAGAGGTGCCTGAAAACCTGGTACTTCCCTCCCCCGAATTCCAAAGAGTTCCTCCACGGAGAACGCCACAGGATACCCCACAAGTTTTGAGATGCTCACCCTACTTCAATCACCCACTCCCAGCTCTCCTGGATTTGCAAGGTTGACGCACCACCCCACCCACAGAGGAGGGAAAATGTCAGGCATCTGTGGTCTCCATCCTCACCGGCTTGCTGGCTAATTGATTACATGGCTACTTGACTGATGACGTATATGTGTAGGTATTTTCAGGAGCAGAACACTGTGTGGGTGTGTGCACTATCTTCACTGGTAAACTGCTTGATATGACTGATTGGCACAGGACTTAGCAGCAATTGGGGTGAAGATGGCTATGTCAGCAGGGGGGAGAGGAGAGAGTGGGCAGAGGGAGCCCTGAATTCTGCCAATCTGACAGGTCCCTACTCTAGCTCTGGGCCTGTTTTCCCTTAGCTCTCATGGTGGCCTTTTTTTTTTTTTTTAAACTCTGTCGTCATGGTTTCTTCTTCCTTATTTTCTTTGCTTTTCCCTTCTGTCCCACTCTGTCCCTTGTCATAGAAAGTGTGGTCTGTGGGCCAGCAGGAGTATCCCTCATAGCTTGCTAGCAATGCAGGTTCTAGGACCCTGCTCTAAACCATGGATCGAACATGGAATTCTTTTAAGACTCCAGGTAAATCAAAAGCACATTAAAGCCTGAAAAATTCCACTGAGCCATCTCTTCTACACAGCTTCCTTTCAAGCTCTTGGCTTTAGCTCAAGCCTCCCCTTTCCCACCATGTATCCCCGATCACCTGTTCCGTTTGTCTTCGCTTTTCTCTTTTCTTCCCTTCTTCCCTCTCTTCCTTCTTGTCTCTGTCCCTTTTTTTCACCTCCCCCGTTCCGTTTTTCTTACTTTCCTCTTCTCATTAACCTGTTATCTTATTCTGTCTTTTCCATCCGTCTCCCCAACTCCTTTCCTCATACATTTCTCTCTTTGCTCAACCCTTCCCCTTGTCTAGACGTAAAGGAAATGAACCTCTTTCATACTCTCATGACTGTGTGGCTCCTAGTCACCAAGCTGCCCTGAATCTGAAGTCCAGTAATTCCCCAGCATAAAGCAGGTAATGAGGGAACCCCAGGCTGGGAAGCCCTGGGTGTACCTGTAGAGGATTCTTTGTGCTTATGGCGATGACATGGTACTTGTAGTAACACAGCTCACAGCTCCAGCAGCCCCTTTCGCTGATCCACTTGATGAGACACGGCTGGTGAGTACATTTGACTGAACCATCACAGCGGCAAGGGCTTAGCAGCTCTCCCTGTGAGAGAAAAAGAGGGGATAAGGTGAGCCCGGAGCCTTAGTCCAGCGGATGATAGAGAGGTGGACTAAACCCTGGTCTGAACCACTCCATCCAAGTTACAAGCTCTGTCTAGAGAGCTGACACAATGACGGAAATCTGCTGGTGGAGGCAGGAGAGATTTGGAGAACACAGACTGAAACCAGGACAGCCTCCACCATCCCCAGTTCGCTACAGATGAGGGAACATGATAGAATTTGTATTTCTGGTAGTGCTGGCGATTGAACCCAGGACCCCATACAGACTACCCTCAGTCCTACAGGGGATCATTCACTAAAACTTCTCAGTAGCCTGATTGTAATAGTTTAAAATTATGTCACATGGGTCACCTTGACTGAGTACAGAGAAATGCCTGTAGGCCATAGAACTCTGAATGTGAGCCTTCTCCTGCAAAGACACTGGTCCCCTCAGTGATGCTTTCTAGGCTGGGTCCCCAAGAGGAAGAGAAATGTAGGTCAGGCCTGAATCCTGGGGATCTTAGAGATTGGCCAATGTCCTTGCTGAAGGCCTGGGTTGCTCCAGCCAACTCTGGGGCAAAGGACAAAAGACCAGCTTAGAAGCAAGGGAAGGTGGGAAACAAATCTGGCCAAGCTAGGTGGTGTCAGGATGAGAAGCCCCTGATAACTGAACTGCAGAGTGTAACCCATGCTCTAGTGCTCCCCGTGACACATCAGATAGCCATGATTGAAACCTGTGTCTCTTGATGCCTGATACGGTGGCCCCAAAGTGCCTCTGTGAAGCTCACCAGCTATATTCTCCCCTCCCTCTCCCTCTCCCTCTCCCTCTCCCTCTCCCTCTCCCTCTCCCTTTCTCTGTCTCTCTCTCTCTCTCTCTCTCTCTCNTCTCTCTCTCTCTCTCTCTCTCTCTCTCTCTCTCTCTCTCTCTCTCTCTCTCCTTTTCTGGTTTTTGAGACAAAATTTCTCTGTGTAGCCCTGACTATCCTGGAACTTGCTCTGTAGACCAGGCTGGCCTTGAACTTGCAGAGATCCACCTGTCTCTGCCTCCCATTTGCTGAGAATAAAGGCATGTGCCACCATTGCCTGGCTTCCATTCCCCAACCCCCCTTTTTTTGTTCGCTCTCTCTTTTTAACCTCTATCTCCGTCCTTCCCAGCTCCGCACCCACTCTTTGCTCACAAAATCCCCATTGACTCAGCTCTTCCACTCCCCTTTCTAGGGACCTTAACATCTGGGCTCTGCATTCCCTCTGATCTTACTAAGGGCCTTTGCTCTTGAGTCTTTCTCTTCCTTTGGTCTCCAAGCTTCCAGTCCAGGTCACTCATTTTGGATTCAGCTCCTCTGTCTCACTCCTATCAAAGGACCTGTGCCCAGTCCAATTCCTGAACCCTGTGATACTATATTGGGATGAGGCCTCTTGAGCCATTTCCTTGCTTATTCAAATGTTTCGTCATTTAGAAAACTATGCCTTGTTCTCAACCATGAATAAGCAAGCCCAGGATCTTCTGAGCTCTAAGTGTATCCATCTGCATCTTTAGTCATATTTTTCACTGTAGACTACAGAACCAGCCATCTCCCTCTTATGATTTCTGGAATCATTCTTCCCTATCGTTTCTACTCCTATACACAAAAATAGCTTGTGTGAAGTCCTCTTGTACTCAGTCTACAGGTTAGTTTTGTTTTTATGACGGCTCAAACGCCACTTCCTGCACGGAGTCATCCATGACTTCTCCAGGTAGAGAGGACTTTATGTTGTGAGAACTCCTTCAGTCAATAGCCTTTAAGATATCAGCCCACTTTGGGTCTGGTCTCATGTACTATAAGTGCAGACAAAAACTATGCACGGTACTTTTTTTTTTTTTTTTTGGCTGGATTTGGTTCCAGTTCCTAGTGCATGCAGAGGACTGTAGATCGCTGCCCTACCTGTGAGTTTATCCTCAAATAAATAAACCTTTGCTATACTCCATTCTGGGCTATTGTGGAACTCTTTGATACTACTAAAATTTGGCACCCAACATGGGGCACACATTTATAACCATTCCACACCAACTTTATGCTGAATAAATTTAGCATGTCACTTTTAGAGAACTCAACACATGACCATAAGGATCTAGTAATGTACCCCTCTGCCCTCCAAAGGACCCTGGAGAGGAAGGTGTGAGGCTAACACCTTTGTACACCTTTTCCCTGGTGCTAAGCCCTACAGTAGAAAACACTTGGCAATCTTTTGTGTTTGAATGACTAAATGAAAAAATATAAACCAAATGTTGTATTAGACACCTGCATTGCCCGCTCTATGAGAATAGGAACAATGTTCATCTTTTCTGGTTTGTTTTTGAAGACAGGGTTTCTTTCTTTATGTAGTCCTGACTGTTCTGAAACTAGCTCTGTAGACCAGGCTGGCCTAGAACTCACAGAGATCTGCCTGCTTCTGCCTCCCAAGTGCTAGGATTAAAGGTATGCGCCACCACCACCAGGCCAACCATGTTCATCTTATTAACCCAGTAATTTTTGCAGCACCCGGAACTCCATGCACCTGTGTGCATGACTTTACTGGGTAGTAGAGATACTCAGGTATTCAGTATCCCCAAAATGTCACTTAGTTCTCCACACTGCTCCTTGGGTACCAACAGCTTCTCTTGGCTATGGCCTTTCCCAGGCTTACTTCATGGCACTTCTCCATTAGTCTCCAGGTCACTGCATTGTGACTTCCTCATAGGGCAGGATTTTGCACAGTGGTACATCCCCAGCATTCAATATTGCTAGACAATAATCTGACTTCTGCAGCTGATCATGGGCTTATCTATTTGATGAACAGGAGGTTTTACTCCTCCAGAACACAGCCAATCTTGGATTCTGTGATGCCTGGCAGCGGTCACTCAGTACACCCAGCAAACTCTAACTCCCTGAGTGGCTGAGCATCCCTGCTATGGTTATGAGAAGGAAATGGGAGCGGTAAATGTGGAGAGGTGCTGGGGGAGGGGCAAAGCCCTCATTATTCATGCCAGCGTTTCCTAGGCTCATTAATTCTAACGGGATGAGCTAGGTTTGATTAATCGGGTTGTTAAGCAGCCATGTCAAGTTGCCGATCAGGTAAAAGACATTACTTCCGGTCGCTGGCAGTGAAGCTAAGTGACAGCAGCCTGCACCCCTTCTTTCCCAGGCAGCAGCGAGGAGAAAAGGCGTGAAAAGCTACTGGCTGGAAACAGCTGATAATGCGACCTGGGCTCCCACCATGGCTCTGTATGGGAACATTAGATCTCACTAGACCCTTTGAACAGTCACATACCTAGCTATAGAGCGAACCCACTCTGGTCCCAGTGCCTGGCTCAGGGGCCAAGAGCCAGAGCTGAGTTGCTTCCCCTGAAACAACTTGTTAATCTCCCATATGCACCGTAGGACATCCCAAAAGGCAGACAGGACCCACTTCTAGCACTACAAATATTAGTAAATGGGGTACCAAAGCTCATCTAGAAATATGTATCTGATGAACATAGCAATGATAGATTTTAAGGAAAAAAACCCACGAAACTTTTAAATTTAGCATTTGTGCAAGTGCTATGCTGAGCTGATTGTGACAAAGGCCACAGTCAGTTGGTTAGAGTAAAATACCAACTTACCTAGATCCTTCTAGTTATACACGTGTCTTCAAGAACAATTGAATAGAAATAACTGGCAGCAAAATTGGATCATGTTAAATTAATGAAGATGTTCTCTACTGTAAACTCCATTAAGAGCTAAAATGGAGGGGGTGGGGGATGGGGACCAGAGCAACAGCTCAGTTTACTTGGCAAAGTTCTTGATGCACAAAGATGAAAACCTGAAGTTTGCTCCTCAACATTCATATAAAAGGTTGAGCATAGTGGTGCATGCTTGAATCTCAGAGCTGGGGAGGCAGGGACAGGAGGGTACTTGAGGCTCACTGGTCAGGTAGCCTAGATTAAAAATGGCAAGCTGCATGTCTCACTAATAGACTGTCTCAAAAGTGAGGTGGAATGCTCGGTGGTGGTGGCGCATGCCTTCAATCCCAGCACTTAGGAGGCAGAGGCAGGGGGAGCTCTGTAAGTTCGAGGTCAGCCTGGTCTACAGCGTGAGTTCCAGGACAGCCAGGGCTACATGGAGAACCCCTGTCTTGAGAAGAAGGAGCAGGACGGGGAAGGGAGGATGAAGAAGGAGGAAGAGAAGGAGGAAAAGGAAGAGGAGGAGAAGAAAGAGGAGGAGGAGCACAAAGAGGAGGAGAAGGAAGAGGAGGAAGAGGAAGAAGAAAGAAGAAAAAAGGAGGAGGAAGAGGAAGAGAAGAAGGAGAAGGAGAAGAAGCCAGTGCTGGGAGTCTTTTTCTGTCACTTCCCCGGAAGAGGGAGGGATATTTCTGGCCCACATTAGGCCCCTCAGCCATATCTTCCATGATGGCCAGTTGCAGCCCTGTCTCCTCCCCCTGCTTCATTACAGACCATTTGGTACTGCATCATTTTCATATCCCTTGAGATTTCGGCTGATACCTAATCTCACTGATACCCAAGCAATTAGGCAAATTGGAGATGCCCAGAACGGAGTGGACTAAACTATACAGGCTTCATAATGTGGGGAAGAACAAGGCTCTCTATCCCAGCTCCTGAAGCTCCTCCTGTTAGTATTCAGGCATCTGTACTGGCCTGCCCTTGGGGTCCTGACAGGTTAGGTCCTCAGCTACAGCTACTATGAGCACCTCCTGTATACATTCATTAGTTCCCATTTCAAAGGACCCAACCCACCTCTCTCTCTCTCTCTCTCTCTCTCTCTCTCTCTCTCTCTCTCTCTCTCTCTCTCTCTCCTTCTCTCCCCTCCTCTCCTCCCCTCCCCCCTTCTTTCTTCTCTCTGTTCTGCTGCTCCTGTCCCCAGAGGCAGTTCTCCCCCTCCCCTTCTTTATGTACCCCACCAATAAAAACCCCTCCACATGAACTCTGTCACAGGGCATCTTTCTCCCGTGCGCCGCTTTTTTTTTTTTAATTACAAAATCACCCTTCAA